AAATTATAAGGCAATCTATTCTATTTATATAAAAAATAGTTAACCAATTATCTAACAAACTAACAAGATAACAAATTAAGGAAGTATCTAGAATAAGCTAGAATAAGCTGAATTCAGGCGGGAATTATAGTGGAAGGCAGCAGCATTTTATCTCTAGATTTTGCTGTGTTGCTGTTGTGCTTTGCTGAAGAAAGTGGGTTGCTGGTCTTGCTGTTGAAGCTGCTAGTTGCTGGTGATCAGATGAGCTGATGAACTGGAGGCTAAGTTAATATTCCCACAGATCCGATAATAAATATGGCATCTTCATCTACAGTGTTGTGTTGTATTATATTAAAGAGCGATGACCTAGGTACCATTTCGCTTGCCTTTCTAGGACTGAATTATGTCATATCGTTTTCAAAACCAAAACCAACTCTAAGATCATCTTTGTTAAGATCAACTTGAAGATCAATGAGATGGCTTGCACACAAGTCAACAAGTGAGTTTTGGCATATGTATTAACTGCGTGATTGAATTCTGATCGCTGTAGCATGCAGACTATAATTGTTTGTCATTATCCTTTTTTACGCTGATGTTTTGAAACATTTATGGATTGATTCTCTCATAAGATTATGATAGATTTATTTTCTTTTTAAAATAACAAGTTTCTTTAGTAGAGCTAAATAATGGCTGAAATACAACGTTGTGAATCTAGGAATTTTGAATCGGTAACATTTGATGGTTTCCGCTTGCGTATCCAATGGCGGATCTAGGAATTGGAGCTAGCTAGGGCCGTCGACAACCATTGACCATTGATCGACGCATTAACGGGATCGTTTATTAATATTTAATTAAATAATATTTTTAAAAAATTGTTTAATATATAAATGCACTAGAACGTAAATCGCATATTAACTATCATCGAGTTTCCGTTTCCAAAATCACAAATTTTCACAAATACTAACAGATTCCAAAAGTCCACATACAAACCGTTTTCATTTTCAAAATCCCCAATTTTCACAAAATCCTCAACTTTCACAAATTCCATATTCCACCAATTTTCATAAATATTAATGCGGGCTCACAACTCACAAGTCAGAGACACACTCGCATTAAATACTCACAAAACATAAAATCATAAATCATAACTGATTAATTTTACTAGATAACTCACGAATTCATAAATAATAAATCAACAAACGAGCTAGAAGAACAAACACCAAAAAATAAAAAATGAAGAGA